CTCCCAACAGGAAGGCCCACGGGGAGCAGCAGCACAGCGCCCTGTACAGGACAGGGGTCCTTGTTCAGTGTCAGGGAACTGAGGCTCCTGGGCAAGGGCAGCCTAGGAGCCAGGGGGGCGCCCTGGAGGAGAGGAGACAGGCATGCCTGTCCTTTGGGTTTGTAGAGGGGTGACCAGAGGCCCTTCGTCTCGAAAGTAATCATTCTCATTCCTGGACTCACTGCATTTGCAAAACTCCTCATCTTCTGTTCTCTTGAGTCCCAAACGGTCAGCAAAAACAATCCACGTGTGTATTATGTCTAGACAGGGGCTGGTGCAGGATTCTGCAGGATTTTTTTAAAATATACATATATTTTTTATTGATTTCAGAGAGGAAGGGAGAGGGAGGGAGAGATAGAAACATCAATGATGAGAGAGAATCATTGATCAGCTGCCTCCTGCACACCCCACACTGGGGATCGAGCCTACAACCCGGGCATGTGCCCTTGACTGGAACCGAACCTGGGACCCTTCAGTCCGCAGGCCGACACTCTATCCACTGAGCCAGACCAGCTAGGGCAGGATTCTGCTGTGTGGCCCTTAAGGCGGACCCCCTGGGGAGCCGTCGCCAGTTCAATCCAACTTGACTTCCTGAGTCCTCAGGGGCAAGAGGGAAGGAAGCTAAAGCCACCGGTACAGAGGAGGTTGTGGCCAGGCGTCCTGTGGTTTGTTTTAAAAATAATTTTTCTTGCTCTGTTTCCGTAACACCTGAGTAGCTCAAACAAGAACTAAAATTGATTATGTTCACTTACAACCTTTCCCTCGTTCAGTGCCCGTCTTCTCCCGCCTGACGGAAATAGGGTTCTGCTTGCCTGAAAGCATGCGAGGGGCCTTCATAGGAACAGGGAGAGGCAGTGCCCTTGGGGGCGGTCCCTGCCTCAGAGCCTGTCTCTGCAGCAGTGGCCTCCCTTTGCGCCCCACCCCCTGGGTTAGAGGAGGCTGCTGGCCCTACTCTGCGTGGGGCCCAGGGTTTGGGAAAAGTAGCCGAGCAGGATGTACCCCTGCCCTCCGAGCCCTCTCTCTGCCTCCCTCCTGAGACTTTCCACGAGGGCTTACTAAATCATTGAGAGAGACGCAGAATTATGTCTTAGGTTAAAATGTGCACCTGACACCACCTCACCCATTAGGATGGCTACTAGAAAACATATAAATAAAGAAATAAGCAAATAAATAAATAAATAACACGTTTTGGCGAGAATGTGGAGAAATGGGAATCCCAACTTGGTGTTAGCAGAGTCAAAGGGTGCAGTCACTGTGGAAAGCAGTATGGAGGGTCCTCGGAAAACTGAAATAGAACTTGCAAACGATCCAGCAATTCTCCTTCTCGGTATCTACCTGTAAGAATTGAAAGCAAGTTCTCTAAAAGATATCTTTACAGCCATGTCCATAGCAGCATAATTCACAGCAGCTAAAACGTGGAAGCACACAGGTGTCCGTCCACAAGTGGCCAATAAACAGATGCGGTCGGTACCCACGAAGGGAGGGAGCTCTGACCCGGCTGCAGGGGGATGGGCCTCACAGACACTCCGCTCAGTGAGATAAGCCCGTCACAAAGGGGCGAATACTGTGAGATTCCACTTACAGGAGGTGCTGCGAGAAAGCACATTCACAGAAACAGAAGTCAAATTGTGGTGCCAAGGCTGGGAGAGGGCATGGGAGGAGGAGTTCGGTGGGCACGGGGTTTCAGCTTTCCAAGAGAAGTTCTAGGGGCGGATGGTGGTGATGGTTGCACAGTAATATGGATATATTTAATCCCACTGTACTGCACACTTAAAAATGGCTGAGATGCTACATTTTCTGTGTACTTTACTACAGTAAAAAAAAAAAAAATTGGAAAATTAACAACCCTGGAAAAACCACGTAAGCTTGACGCTCTTATTGAGCACCAGGCTAGAACAGAGAGTTTGTTTGCAGGTGACAGGGCAGTGGCTCAAGCCAGCACCTCCCAGCTCCCCTCTGCACCTCGCTGGTCACCTGGCTGCATTTGTCATGCTGTGCAGTGGGCGCCCTCTTTACTTCACGCTGACACATCTCTGCAGGGGACCCACTCGGGCCTCACTGGGTGGAAGAGCTTGCCAAGTTCAGTGGGCAGGGAGCTCAGGGCGTTGCCATCATTCTTGCGTGTGACAGCCAGACTCCCTGGCAACACTTTTGCCCTTAGCTGTCAGTTACTCTCTTCTGAAGTTTAAATTAGTGAAATATTGTAACTTAACAGATGGTAACTTAAACCAGATTCTCCAAGAGCAGCGGTTCTCAACCTGTGGGTCGCGACCCCTTTGGCGGTCAAACGACCCTTTCACAGGGGTCGCCTAAGACCACCCTGCATATCAGATATTTACATTAGGATTCATAACAGTAGCAACATTACAGTTATGAAGTAGCAACGAAAATAATTTTATGGTTGGGTCACAACAGGAGGAACTGTATTTAAAGGGCCAGAAGGTTGAGAACCACTGGTCTAGGGTGAGCAACCCAGGCTCCAGTGATGGACTGTCGGGGGGCTTCGCACATCCTTGCCCCTGCCTAGAGGTCACACCGCTGGTCACCCCTCAGCTTCCAGAGACAGGACCACGCCCGACTCTGCCCTGGGGGAATGGAGCTGCCTGCGTCATCAGAGTAGCTAGCTCTGTCTGAGTGCCTGTGCCCGCAGCGCTGGGAGGGTGCCCGCAGCGCTGGGAGGGTGACGGCAGTTGTCTGCTGAGGGGCCTGGGGCGCAGGTTCCCTGCGTGGCCGTGGAATGAGTGGCAGGCTTCCAAGCAGTGGCCCAACACTTAACCCTCCCTGTTGAGACTCCGGGGAAGACGGGGTGGTGCAAGCACGAAGTCGGAGTGTTTGCCGCACCCGTTCGTGTTGAGAATTAACATTGCCGTTTGCTCCTTCTCTCGTGAAGGTCTCTTTGGTTTCCTCGTCCCGGCCGCCCTCTCCAGACCAGCCCTCCTCCAGGCCCCCGAGCGACGCCCCCGCCTGCCCCCGGACCGCAGCCAGCAGCGTGGCGCCGGTGGCTGATTTCAGCTGCCCCCCAGAATCCTCCTCCTGCCTGGACAACTCCGCAGCCAAGCACAAGCTCCTGGTTAAGCCCCGCAACCAGCGCTCCAGCAAAATGAGGCGCCTGTCCTCGGTAATCCGCCCCCCTCCCGCCGCCTCTCCCCCGCCTCTCTCCCCCCAGGGCCAAGTGCCCCCCAGAGGGACTCCCCACGGCCCCATGGACAACATACATTAATATGTCTCTCCCCTACATAAACACTTCCTTCCTTCCTTCATTCATTCACTCACTCTGCAACCCCTGTCAAGGACCTGCTTGCTGTGTGCTGCCTCTCCTTGCCTTCCCTCTGCACTCAGCGAAGTCCACACTCTGCCCCCACCCCCCCACCCCCAGCCTGCCTCGGGCTTCCTCTTGCTCTGCCTCCTCCTGCTCCTGAGCTCTCCGAGCTGCCTCCGGCCACAGGCCTTGTCCCTCCTTGATCTCCTGGCAGCTCCTCCTCAGCCTCGGGGTCTCGCCTCGAGGTCCTCTCCCCACGGGCTCACCTGAGCGGGTCCGCCTCCCCGACGGTGCTCACTTCCCTCATAGCAGGGCTACGCAGCGCGACCTTTGGAAATGCATGCTCACTTGTTTACTGCCTGTCTTCTCCGAGGCCTTGTCCCAGCTGTACCTCCAGCCCTGGGGCTCGGCTCTTCTCAGAGCTGACCCAGCAAACATGGGTTGAATGCATGAATGAATAAACACACAGGGAATGAGTGATGGCAGAAGAAGCAGCCACTAGACTGGACCCCCCCCACCCCACCCCCACCCCCGCTTGGGTGAGCACCTGCTTAGTAGCAGAGGGATGGTGCCCCTGTAAGGACAGACCCTGTTGGGGCTGCGGCCTGGGCAGGTGTCAGCTCATAGCCGTGGGAGTCGAGAACTCGCTCGTGGTCCCAGGGAGTCACGGTCCATGCAGGGTGGGTGCCTTCTCCCCAGCCTGGTGTGCGGACACTGCCTCACCCCGAGGAGCTGAGGCCAGGCAGCACCCAGGGCTGAGAAAGAGGTGCTCGCTGACCAGCGTTCCCCTCCCTTCGTCCCTCGAGACAAGATGGGGCTGACGAAGGCCCCGGGACAAGCTCGGTGCTTCAGCTGGAGACGGTGGTGCGGGGCCACTTGGGATGTCGGGGACCCCCTGAGACAGTGGGTTCCCCTTTGGGCATGTGGGATGTGCTTCTGAAGCTCATGCTGGAAGGCTTGGCATGGGTTTTAAAGGTTGACTTTTGAGGGGACCGATGCTGAAGAAGGGAGTGAGCTGTGGTTGCCTCCGGGGCACTGTGCCCTCACGGAGCCGGGGCCTCGGGTGTGCACAGGCACTTGAATATCCGGGGCATTTACAGTGAGAGGATCTGAGCTGGGGGACGTGCCAAGGCCCAGTCGCTCTGGCCTGCCCGTCCTCGTGCCCAGGGCAGGGACGCAGCAGCTCCCGCTGGCCCTCAAGGTGGGCTTTATTCCCAGGGATGTCTGTGGCCCTGCAGGGGTGCAAGTCATCAGCCCGGCCGGACTTGGGGCCGAGGGCAGCCAGCTCCTGCTTCAGGGGAAGGGCAGCACCCCCTCTCTCTGCCCCGGGGAAGAGGAGCTGTGCCTCTTTCTTTGCTCTTGAACTTGACTTAGCTCTTCACCACATTTTAGAACAAGAATTCTCATCCTCCCCATCTGGGTAAACAGAGTCTTTCCTTAATTTAAACTATCATGTCCTCTCCTCTCCTTCTCTTCCCTGGTGGGAGCAGCGCGGATAGGTTAGGCTTTGGGAGGTCTGCGTGTTTTCCTGACTGGGCAGAGGTATCCGGCCCGTGGTCACCAGTGTCATTGCTTGGTCCTCAGCGGGAGGCTTCTGTTCTTCCTGTCCACGGCGCCCTTTGCCCTTTGGCCATGAGGTCCCTCTTCCCAACCATGAGGACCCTCCTGGTACCGGGGCCCCCCCTGGGACTCAGCTGCTTTCTGATGCTCCCATCCTGCTCTGCGGGTGGGGAAGAGCCACCACACTGCCCATCGGCTGCCCTCCTGACCCTGCGTGTCCGTGGAGGTTCACTCCCCTCTGGGCTTCGCGAAACAGTGAGGCCCAAGTCGCCCCTGCTTTTCTAATAGCTGGGACTTCTTTCTCCATCACCCACCTTCCCCCGCCCCGGGCTCAGGCGCCTGCAGAGCCTCTACTTTAGTCTCTTCCTCCTGCTGCCCAGGCGCCTTCCTCCATCTGGGCAGAATGGCCATCCGTGCCAGCTGGGCATCCCTGCTCGGTCCAAGTGGGGCACACTGCCCTGCACATCCCCGAGCTCTGACTCGGTCGAGCTCTGGAAGAAAGCAGAAGGGCTTTCTTACCTTCAGAGCCCAGTCGTCCACGGTCGGATGAAATCCTTGGCTCTCAAGTAGTTTCTTTCACGTTGGAGAAACACATCCCGGTGGGCATTTGGCTGAACCTGCCGGCCTCTGAAGCAGAGGGCAGGAGACAAGCGCAGGCTGTGCCCTTGGCTTTTCCCGTCCGCACAGAACGGCACCATGGAGCTCCAGCACAGACGGGGAACCCCGGTGAATGTCCGCGTGCCCCTCCCCACGGTCAGTCCGCTCCCAGCCCGCAGTGCCAGGAGCAGGGCATGTCATGAACTCTCCCGGGAACAGCAGGGTGACACGGCTAGATCAAGGTGGCATGGCTGGCAGAGCTGCCAGCTGCACGCCCGGGTCTCTGACAGCCTGGCACCTCCTCACCCCACACTGCTCATCAGGGGGCTGCCGCCTGCAGAGGATGGGGATCTGCCCCAGGACTCGTGCCGTGAGAGGAGGGGGAAGAGCAGCAGCCGGGATGGTCTCCATCCCTGTGCAGGCTGAGCAGTGGGTCCTCTACCTCCGCTCCCCGGGAGGCCCAAGGGGGGAAGTGCCCGCTGGCTCTGCGTACGCCAGTGCACAGAGATGGGGGGGCACACGCCTTCTGCTGCTGCACCTGACCCTCTGCTCCACGTCCGAGTCCATCCTCTGGGGTCCGTGCTCCACGCCCGCCTTCGTCCCGCCGCCTCCCCCGGGGTGGGCCCCGTGGAGCCTGCTCCCGCTCCGAGCTGACTCAGGGTGGGCTCCGAGCATTTTAAAGGTGACCCACATCCTAAAGAGGTTTCAACGTCCATGATTTCCTGTGACAGCGAAAGGCCAGCGATGCCTTTGTACCTGCAGCTTTTGAAAATTCTGCTGTAGCTTTCCTTACACACCTTCCCCTTTGTGTGCCCAGAAGAGTAGGATTGTGCATCTTGGCCAGAGTTCAGCTGAGGTATTGTTCAAACATCCCAGCGATCCCGTGTTCTTTCAGCGAGGAGATGCTGGCTGGAAATCGCTAAAAATAACATCCACAGACAACAGAAACCTATTGCTGACACCCGGGGTGTTGCCTAAAGGTGGAGGAGAGAGCTCACAGCAACAGCCTGATGACTCCAGGCCCCATGTCAGAGTTTTTCCAAAGATCAGTCTCCACCCCACAGCCTTTGGGTCATTTTCACGTCGGGCTTTTGAATGATAAGTGATTGCCTTCCTCTCCTTTCCTTCGGAAGAGCAGGGGCTGGCTCTGTGTACGGCAGGAGGACCGGCCCCAATTCCAGACCTTTGAGGAGAAAACTGCCACCAGGCAGCCCAGGTGTCAGGAGAGAGGGAGAGTCAGAGCCTCGGGGAGGAGGCCAGGCTTCTGTCGAGTGGGATTTGAGTCGGATTTGAGTCGTGGGGTGCTGGTAGAGTGCCCTGGCGGTGTGGGGGGGTCACGCAGACCCACAGTCGGGTCCGGACAGCAGGGGGGCTTGGCTGGAACTAAGGAGGGAGCTGGAGGAACACCGAAGAGCAGAGACTGTAAGGCTGAGTTGAGCTGAAAAGTGTGGACTTTGCCCTGTACGCTGTGGGTTACTGTTGATCTTGTTTGACATGCTGTGAATCCCGTTTTAGGCAAATAGTCTGCCCTCGCTGGGAGCGGGCGCTGAGGGGAGGATGGCTCTGCGGAGCCCCAGCTTCCCTCTGGGCTCAGAGCTCCGCGGGCCAGCAGGTGCCCGGCTGCGTCTGTCGCCAGTGCACAGAGGGAGTGACGATCCTTCCCGAGCTGGGAGGCATCGGGAGGAAAGAAGCAACAAGCATAGAGCGCAGGCGTGGCAGCCCTCCACCTGGTCACGGTCCCTTTCCGTGGCTTCGCTCCGTAGAGCGCCCTCCACTAGGGCTTGGCTGGGCCACGAGAGCCTCAGGCAACATTTATTTTGAGGGCATGGCTGCCACTGTTCTGCTGAAAGTGAACTTGCGAGGCAAGACTCCAAACTAGAGCCGTGAGGGAGGGATTAGGAAGAGGCTCCTGGACGTGAAGGTCCGAGCAGGTGCAGCCTGGACAAGCGGGCGGGTGGCGGGCCTCCTGCTTCCCCTGCAGTGATGCTGTGTGTCCTCTTCCTCTCCTAGCGGGCGCAGTCCGAGTGCCTGAGCGACCTGACCTGCACCCCCGAGGAGGAGGAGTCCGACGAGAAGCCGGTGCCCACAGTCAGCACAGAGGAGACGCCCAGTGCTGGGCAGCAGGCTGGGCCCAGGGGACTGGCCCCCGTGCTGCCGCCTGGGAGGCCCCGTGCTAGGCGGGCGCAGTCTGAGGCCCTGGGCGACTTGACCTGCACCCCCGAGGAGGAGGAGTCCAACGAAAAGCCGGTGCCCACGGTCAGTGCAGAGGAGACGCCCAGTGCTGGGCAGCAGGCTGGGCCCAGGGGGCTGGCCCCCGTGCTGCTGCCTGGGAGGCCCCGTGCCAGGCGGGCGCAGTCTGAGGCCCTGGGCGACCTGACCTGCACCCCTGAGGAGGAGGAGTCCGACGAGAAGCCGGTGCCCACAGTCAGCGCAGAGGAGACGCCCAGTGCTGGGCAGCAGGCTGGGCCCAGGGGACCGGCCCCCGTGCTGCTGCCTGGGGGGCCCCGGGCCAGGCGGGTGCGTCTGCAGCACTGCCCCGCGCTCAGCGCCAGTGCTGAGGAGGAGGAGAGCCCCCCCGGGGACGACCCCTCCAGCCGCCAGGCCACCCTGGAGGTCACGGAGCCCGTGCCAGGCCCCGCCCCCTGCTTGGAGTGCCCACTTTTGCCAGAAGACTCCCCACACCCTGACCCCGACAGCAAACGTCAAAGGGAGGAGCCATCCCTTGAAAGCGCACGTCCACCCTCCAAGGACGCAGCTGGAGAGGGGGGGTGCGCTTCTGGAGACGCCGAGAGTTCATCGCCCCGCATCCCTGAGGAGGACACGGCACCGCCTGGGACCGGCCCGGCCGTCCCCTCGGAGACTCCCCCTGGTCCCGACGGGCCAGGCCACGATGCGCAGGAGCAGGCGGAGCTGACGCTGGCAGTGCCCGGTCCCAGTCCAGAGGGCGCAGAGGGCACAGAGGGCTCGGAGGACTTCGCCCCCAGCCCCCCAGCCTCCAAGAGCTGCTTGAAGCACAAGGCGCCGGCGAGCAGGAGCCTCAGCGTGTCCCCCACACCGCCCGCCTCCGAGTCACCTCCACAGGAGCCCAGCCCCTGTGCCCTGGACAAGGAAGCCGCCCCCCTCCAGTCCCCCAGGGCTGAGCAGGGCGAGTCCCCACAGCGGGGAGCCGAGAGGGAGGCCCCGGAGCCGAAAACTGGGAGAGGAGGCAGCAAGCCCCGGGGCGGGAAGAAGTTCTCCGTGGCCTCAGGCCGGGCGTGGCCGCACACAGGCCACAGAGAGCGGCCCGCGCGCCCGGGCCCCCCTGCTGCCCCCTCCTCTGTCCGGCTGCCCCTGCTGAGGAGCAGCGCGGCCTGGAGGAGCGAGGCCGCCCTCGATGACCTCCAGGCACCCCCGGAGCGCCAGAACCCAGAACTGGAGCCTCAGGAGCCACCGTCACCCGCTGAGCGTGGCTCTCAGGACTCGGGGAGCAGGGTGGCCAGCCAGGCCGGGCCCGGGCAGAACCCCCCGGAGGCAGTGGCCACACCAGCCACAAGAGAGCCCCGCCTCTCCGCCCAGGAGCCGCGCCCGTGTGGGGACAGGAGCCCCTTCCCCGTCAAGCTCCGGTCCACGTCTCTCTCCTTCAAACACAGAGACGTGGCCGTGCCGGAAGGGAAAGGAGTCAAGAGGTACAGTGCTGAGGTCCGGCTAGAAAAAGGAGGACTGGCTCTGCTCTCGAAAGATGACAGGTGTCACGTGGGGGCGGTCCCCACGATTCGGGGGACCAGGCCCCCCAACGGACAGGGGAAGGGGAAGGCCCGGTCATCGGAGCAGCCGGGCTCCAAGCCGCCCCTGCCCAGGAAGCCGCTTCTGCAATCCCTCACCCTCCCGTACCCGCCCGCGGGCCCCGACGTGAGCCCTGGAGAGCTGGACAAGGCCGCACCACCCCCGGGCCCCAGAAAGGAGAGTCGGACGGTGGAGAAACGGTTGCCCCGCCGGGGAGCTGGTAAGAGCCAGCCCTGAGCATGCTGGGGGTGGGACAGCGCAGGCAGTGGGAGTGCCTGCTGGACATCCCCTGGGGATAGATGGTGAACACGGGGGTAAAGGCCTTGCGGCAGGAGATTGGCAGTAGAGTCAACATTCCTCATGGTGCCCTCACGTGTTTGAGAGCTGGGCATGGAGACCGAGAAGGGGGAGCAAGTGCCAGGAGGTTGTGTGAGTTCAGCGAAGTCAGGAATTGTCCACACTCGTTTCGCAAGGCCTTGTTTCCTAGCAGGCGGCCCCTGGGGGCTCATGCCACCCCCACTGCTTACCTGGGAGCTCAGGGAGGCCCCGTCCGGCCCGTGCTCTTGGTGGAGGCCCTGGGCTGGCAGCACCTATGTTCTTCTTGGTTTTAAAGGAAGCATCTGGCCCCTCTGACCTTCACCCCTAAGAAAGTGGTTCCTCCATGTAATCATTGGGCTCACGGGCCCGAGTGCCATGCAGGACGCACCCTCTTTATTGCAGTCACAGCCTCTGTCCAGTGTGAGCCCCTCAGCAGGTGGGCGTGGGCTCCCTGTCCCAAAGGGAGCCGGTGTTAAGATCGGGCAGAGTGCCCGAATACTCTACAGCAGCTGTCTTCTAAACGAGAGGCAGACGACGGGGTTCCTGCTGGTGACTTTTGTCACTGTTTACGCGTAGTGTTTCTGACAGAGCGGGCCGTCTGCTGGACATGGGTCGCCGCCGTGGAGCGGGAGAGAGAGCCCGTCACTGGCCGTTTCTTTCCTTGATGCAAATCACGGTGCCAGCAGAGGAAGCGCCACAGACCCGTCCTGACCCCTGTGACGAGGGCCCTGGGGAGAGATTTTTCATGGCAAATTTTATTTTTAAAAAAAACCTTCCAGGATATTTTAAGTGGCTACTCTAAGTCCAGGCTCCACTAAAGTACTGCATTGTGGGACAAAAGACAGCAGAGCCCAGCTGTTCCCCTAGGGACCTCGCATCCTGTGAGCAAGATGAGGGCACACTCAGGAGGAAGAAATGAGCTCTCACACAGCAACCTTTTCTGTCCCCTGTTCGCAAGTTAGCGGGACGCAGTGTACAGTGCCTTCCGGTCCTAAGGGGACACCCCAGGATGCAGACGGTCCAGGGAGTGGAGCCAGGAAAATGCCTCGCTCGCCCTGGCCCCTGGCTCCACTGTGATTTTTTAGGACCGTCCATGGGGGAGCTTCGGGGAGGCCGGAGCTGAGCTGCCCTGTGCCAGGGCCCAGCGAGGTCACAGAAGCTGCCGTAGAGTGACCCAACGCCTTCGGCTGAGACAGGGAGGGAGGAGGGGGCTTGCTCTGACCTCAGCACCGTCCCCCCTCTTGACCTGAAACTGAAAATGTCCCTCAAGGGCTTGCTGAGAAGGGACCTTAGACGCAGGACGCCCAGGCTCGCGCTGAGAGCTGGGAGTGAGCTTCAGGGAGCGGTGCTCGGCTCACTGATGATCCTGGCTTCCTCCGCCCATGCCAGAGAGAGGCTTCCCTCATTGCCAAGTGCCTGCGTTGGGCTTTTTTCTTTGATTTATAAAATACAATATCGTATTTATTTACTAATGGCTTCGCTTCTGTAGCAGAAGAGAATTGTCGTGACAGTCTGTGTGTATTAATAGTCTCTGAGCACAGAAATAACCCGTTGGGATGCATTCCAGGGTGGAAGAAACTGGGTGAGGGGGCACTGTGGTGAGTCTCATTTCCTTGCAAAGACAGGAGGGAAAGAATTACCCACACTCTTTCGGGAACTGACCCTCCCAAGGGGATGGTATTTGAGGGGAAAGTGCTAGGAGAGGCTGTGGCTGCTGCCTGGGACCCCCGGGGCCTCGGGGCGCAGGCCTGCCTCATGCAGAGCCGAGCAGGATCTCAGCGAAGCAGCCTCTGACGCTTGCAGACCCTGGGTCTGCTGGTGGTTTCGTTCATTATTACTTCCGCCGTCAGCCTCATCGCTCCCACGTGACAGCGGCTGAAGGCAACTCAGTTTATCTAAAACGTGCAGATCGTGCAAGTTTTAATCACAGTATTCCTCAGAAAGTCCTCATTGCTGCTGTTGGTGGTGGGCCCTTACCCGAGGCCCGGTGAGTTCCGTCTTCCTGTCCCCCTTCCAGGCACAGATCATGAGGTCAGGTACGGAGGGTCCCGGACGGTGCCCGCTCTGCCTCGGGGACTGCAGCTGCCTTTCCCCAGCACTCCCGCCAGCCGTCCTCGCCGCTCCACACTGTCTTCCTTCCTCGAAGGCCTGGAGAAACTGCCGCCAGGGAAGCTGAGAGAGTTCGATTTTGTTGCAATAAACCCAGGAGCCTGGCTTGCCAAGCGGGCCAGGCCTCGCAGGGCCACCTCCGGGAGGGTGCGGCAAGCCCCGGGCGCGGTTGTGCGCATCCACCACGTGGCACCCATCGGTCTGCTGACGGGCCAGGGCAGGCGAATGGCCAGGGGCATCAGACTCGTTCAGGTGTGCAGGACACACCTCCTCCCCTCAGGCTTGTCCAGCCATAGGATTAGAATTAGAAGAAAGCAGTTGGAGGCTCTCGTGTAGAAAACTGATAAAATACAGAACGCCTAGAGAAAAAGCAATCACCTGTGAGTCCACTCTGTAGGTGTGAAACCTGTTGGACTTTCCTTCTAATCTTTCTGTGTGTGTGCGTGCACATGCGTGTGTGTGTGCGTGTGCCTGTGTGTGCATGTGTGTGTGTGTGTAATTTCCTGTAGAGTTGTGGTCACATGGCAGATATTTGGGACAGTAGCTGGGGCCTCATTTGATAACCAGCCTCAGCCTCCAATCTAGCTCATTCCACCCGGCCCGGCCTGGTGACAATGAAATGATGCAATCAGGCTCTGGCCTCTTTTCCTGGACGCGCGGCCTCACTAGATCATGCTTCATTCATTCGGCAAATACTTCGTGTGCTCCTGCCACGTGCATGGCACGGCACAGGCCCAGCGGCAGTCGGAAAGCACAGGACCTGTTCCCCAAGGAGGGGCGGGAGGGGGCGTCACAAGGGAGTGAGGGTAGAAGCCCATCTTACCTTTGGATATCAGGGACATTTTTTGGAGAAAATGAACTCAGAGACTCACTTAACAACCTTTATTTCAATGTACTGAGACTCATTTGACTAGAATACAAGGGGGCTGGATATTTTTGCTATCATGCTAAGAACATATTCATACGTCTTGAAGAAAACCAACTTTGTTCACACCTACCCTTCCTTTTAGCCTGTCCTTCCCTTCACAGTCCCTTCCTGAGCGAGTGTGGTCAACAGTCTGCGGCGACCCCCCACCTTTTCTGTGCTCCTCAAACCACGCAAGGCTCCTCGCTCCCCACACAGCCCACCTGTGTCCGTCTCCCACATCCGCTTCCCACAGCTCAGGTCTGCAGTGGGTTTGCCCATGACTTACATACGGGCTGTAAGTGGATAGCTAGTGACAGCAGCAGCTGATGTTTACTTAGCACTTACCACGTACAAGGGTCATAGCAAATGCTCTACAGTTTACTCTCCAACAACAGTCTTACTTCACAGAGGGGAGAGCTGTGGGGACCATAGGCCCCCCGTGGCCGCCCCTCACTGTGGGCTGTGCCAGGGTGGTCCTCGGCTGGGGCGAGGGAGGTGCTGCCAGCACCCAGTGGTAGCAGTTAAACATACCACCGTGCAGGGGACAGCCCCCGCAGCAGAGAATTATCCAGCCCCAAAGCTCAGCAGTGCCGAGGTTGACTGACAATTGTTCGCCACTCACTGATGGGTGATAATGGGGAGGGAACGGTGTATAGGAAAGTTGGGGGTCGTACCCCTTAATATGAGATGGTATGTGACAAGGTGCATGGAGACTGGAAATCAGAAAGCCTGTGTTCTGATGCCCCATCGTTACGTGTTGGCCGAGTGACCCTGAACAAGTCCTGTCCTTCAGAGACTCCATTCCTGTCTCTGAAATGGGGATTGAAAACACCCTGGCATTACAGAGACGTGTGAGGCTCATTGTGCACGTGACACTGAACATCAAGGCCAAGTACACCTCAGCTGTTCGCATGCCTTTGGTCGGAGGAATGTCCCTGTCCATCCGGGAGTCGGGGAGGGCCAGGTGTAATGAAGGAAGGGAAACCCGCTGTGGATGGGCGCCACCCTCGAGCTCACGACTTACTCTCCAACGGCCACTGAGACAGCTCTTGTGGGGTCCGGCTATTCCTGCAGGCCCGCCAGGAAGCCAAGGCAGGAAGCTGTGTACATTTTGAATCGTAAGAGGTCGCCATGTAATACAATAGCGTCACTACTTTTTCTCCTTCCTCTGCTGTAGCTCACAATTATATTCAAATTAGAGGCCTGGTGCACGAAATTCATACACTCGGGGGTCCCTCAGCCAGCCTGCACCCTCTCACAGTCGGGAAGTCCTCGGGGGATGTCTGACTGAAGGCAGTCGGACATCCTTAGTGCTGCCTCTGAGGTGGGAGAGGCTCCCGCCACCACCGCTGCACTCGCCAGCCATGAGCCCAGCTTCTGGCTGAGCAGGGCTCCCCCTGTGGGAGCTCACTGACCACCAGGGGGCAGCTCCTGCATTGAGCATCTGCCCCCTGATGGTCAGTGCACATCATAGTGACTGGTCGTTGCGCTGTTCAGTCTATTTGCATATTAGCCTTTTATTATATAGGATACCAGTGCCTTTCCATCCCAGATACTTAGAAGATCCGTTGTATCACCTGGCAGGGAGTGGAGGCCAGCTGCCTGCTCTCAGAGGACGCGGGCACTGCCCTCCCCCTTCCCCCAGCTCTGAGCTGCGTGCATTGCGCACAGTGGTGGCTGAACACGTGCACTTTCAGTCCAGGCTCCTCAGCCTCAACTCCGTGCCCTGGAGCCCGTCGCTGGCTCCCAGGCTCCGCCATGAGATGCTGGCCTTGGGCTGGACAGCCCTGGGACGCCTGCCAGCCTGGCTCCCCTGAGGGCTGGGCTCCACTTCTGTAGTCAAGCAACGGTCAGAGCATCTGACCCTGGGGCACCCAGTAACGTGC